ACCCATCCATGAATTTGCTGCTCCGTAAAACATTTGACCTGTATGCCAACATCCGCCCTTGCGTGTCCATCGAGGGCTACAGGACCCCTTACACGGATGTGGACATCGTCACCATACGGGAGAACACGGAAGGCGAATACAGCGGCATCGAGCACGTGGTATGTGGTTCGAGTGGACATTCATTCCAGCCATCCAGATGATGCAGGTTGCTTGGATTGAACCAAACACCTAAATGAAATTAACTTTTAACCGCCGCTTAACTTGGTTTTTCATTTAAAAGAAAACACCCCTTTTTTTTTCGCTACTTGCTTAACCTTTGTGTGTCTTTCAGATTGTGGATGGTGTTGTGCAGAGCATTAAACTCATCACCGAGGATGCAAGCAAGCGGATTGCTGATTTTGCTTTTGAATATGCCAGGAATAATCAGAGGAGCAAAGTTACGGCTGTGCACAAAGCTAACATTATGTAGGTGGTGAGGAAATGACTCCAGGCCCTTCCAATTCTAATCCCAGTTTTCAGAATCCTAACTGCTTTTTTTTTTTTTTTAACCACGCCATTTTTTCTGCGGCGACACATTATCAGAGAAAGGAGAGGTTGTGTTTTGGAGGCTTATTTTTGGCAGACAGATATTATTCAATTTTAAGACTCCATCCCCGTTCTCCGCTTTTCCAAATTAACTCGCTAAAAGAAAGCTTTGATGATTGCTTAGCTGCAGGTGATTGAAGACTACTGTGAAATAAATAAATAACCCGTGTGTACCCCTAGACCCACAATCCGTGTTGCTTTTCTTGGCGTGCAGGCGAATGTCTGATGGCCTCTTTCTGAGAAAATGCAGAGAAGCCGCCGAAAACTGTAAAGATATTAAGTTTAATGAAATGTACCTCGACACCGTGTGTCTGAATGTGAGTATGTAATTGCATACGAGGAGTCATTTAAGCAGCCACAGTTCTGGTTACGTTAAAAACAACCGTTACCTGTTCTTTCTTTTTGCTTCAGATGGTGCAGGATCCATCTAAGTTTGACGTCCTCGTCATGCCAAATTTGTACGGGGACATCCTTAGGCAAGTAGCTTTGAGTTGATTGTGATCCATCTAGGAGGGAAGTGGGTGATAGGTCCACAGCTTCTACTTCCAAATCTTCTCTTCTGACGCGACCTGATTGTGCTTCCCTGCCACAAAGCTTGGGGTTCTCCGTTGGGCTTCTCAAATATCTTCCACTGCAAAGGCTAATTGTCCTTTCCCCCCATCCTCTTCTTTGTGTGTGTGTGTGTGTGTTTGTGAATTTTTTTTTTCCTTTCAGCGATCTGTGCGCAGGCTTGATCGGGGGCCTTGGTGTGACTCCCAGCGGGAATATCGGTGCTAACGGAGTTGCAATCTTTGAATCGGTAAGGTTTTGATTGTGACATGGGCTTAGCTTGTTAGTGTCAACTCACAACTATTTCTCTTTTCTTTTAGAGTTGTCAGCAGAAAGAGAGTGCAGGAAGTAATGCATACCATAGATAATTGCTAGGTAGCCAAAGCTTCTGGCGCGCAAAATTATGACTGGAGAGCATGATTGATGACTCTTGACTATGGATGTGTCCCATTGGAGAATATACATGCAGGGGGCGGGGGGAAAGACCAGGGTCAAGGGTGAGATGAATGATGTGTCTCAGTGTCGGCTGCACCCACATAACACCGACACGTTTCACTCCTAATGGTTTTTTTTTTTTAAACTCTGAGAGAAACTCATGAGTTGAACCGGGGTGGATGGTCGGAGCCTAGACTGGAGTGGTAGCGATGGGTCAGTGGGATGAGGATGCTTCCTCTTCGCAGGTTCACGGAACGGCTCCGGATATTGCCGGGAAAGACTTGGCCAACCCAACGGCGCTTCTCTTGAGTGCAGTCATGATGCTACGCCACATGGAAATGCCAGACTTCGCCATGAAAATAGAAACGGCCTGCTTCGAGACTATCAAAGACCAGAAGGTAGATTTTGCTAAGGTTCCCCAAACTGAGGTGACTTGGGGAAGGCCACGTTACGGGTTGGAATGCCTGTTTATTTAGGTCTAGGGCTTCCCTGTGTGTAATCCATAGTACTTCTCCCAAAATTAGTTAGGCATTGACTAGGTCAGGAGTGGGTAGCAACATTACGGCATGCTGGCTCAGGAATTCTGAGAGTCGAGGTCCACCGGTTGTGAAGTCGCCATCGCTGCCCACCCCTGCATTTAGGTGATGATGGTTTTATCACCCTCTGCTGTTAACTACTGTATAAATGATGCTGTTAACACTATCAATTATAAACAGCAGGTGACCAAAGATGCCAAAAGTTGCATCCCCTACCAGACTCGAAAGCAGAAACTCTGAATTTATTCTGCCTTTCGGTACAAATCTTCTAAAATGGAAGCTTTATTCATGTGCGGCCTATACATCTGATAGTAGAAAAATGCGATCGGGTAGCCTGTTCAGTTTTCATAAATGACCTTAAGTTCCATGCGCAACGAGCAAAATTTCCCCTTTTCCAATTTTAGGTCTTGACCAAAGATTTGGGAGGCAACGCCAAATGTTCGGAGTTCACCGCAGAGATCTGCCGTAGAGTGAGAGCCATGGAATAGAGGTCTTCTCCGTGTCGTCCTGGTTTCAATCCCTCCTAAAGGATGCTGTTATTTATTACATGTCACGTCCATTTTTTTTTCATTTTCTAGAAATAAACTCCCATTTCCATTTTTTGCTTGACACAATAAAATTGTTAGCTCCCCTTACATTTCAGACTCTTCCACTTTCCAGAAACCTTCCAAAACTTGAAGTTTTTTTCTTTTTCTCTCTCACCCCAGCAGTAGAAGACACTCCTCAAGCTGTCCTTAAGCAGCTTCCTGGCCTTAAAAATAGCACAAAATTTAAAAAAAAATTCCTTTGGAAATAGAATGATTTTTCCACTACTCACTCCTGGAGCCTTTCCAAAGCGTAAAGACTTAAAACTGGGCATTTCAACTCGTGTACATAAAATGTCAAATATCGAGATTTTAAGGGCAGAAGGAATATATCATTCAGTGGTAAAAAACAACAACAACCATGTTATCCTGTTGCAGCTTCAGTATTTATTTTTTTTATACCTCATCTCTGGCTCGCTCTAGCCTTTTCCGGCGCTGGTCCATTATATCAATTGCCTTTGTCCGCTGCTGATTATGAAAAGAAGGCTAATGCTTTTTTTAAAAAACAAAAACAAATATTTATCTCGGTGAATATCAAATATATATTTTGGGGTTAGAATGTATCTGCAGGACTTTTGTATCGTGCTTGGAGTTTATACAGCTTTAGGTTATATTTCATTGCGCTGCTCTGCGGTGAACTGGATTTCAAGGCACTATGGTTAAAAAATAATAATAATCAGAAATGTATTCGGTGACATGGAGGATGTTGAGGGTCACTTGATTTGTTTTTGTTCCAGGTGATGTGAGCAAAGACACAAAATACATGCTAAGTTGGGAGTTTTCTTGCACAAGGATCAACGAATAAATCTGACTTTGTCTCGTGGGAACAGATGTTGGTGGAAGAGAGAAATTGCAGAGATGCTGGTACGAAAGCATCAATGTTTCTGCTGCCAGGGGCGCTTCCAATCCTCCTTAAAGGAAAGTTGGAATCTTTCCCCCTTTTTCTTGGAAGTTCTCTTGGCCTTTCTTTACGTAGAACACTAACGATGCAAACCTCTAGAACAGGAGTGTCCAACCTTGGCGTCTTTGAAGACTTGCAGACTTCAGCTCCCAGATCGCCACGCTGGCTGGGGAATTCTGGGAATTGAAGTCTGCAAGTCTTAAAAAGGTGCCAAGATTGGACACCTCTATTTTTAGAATATCTTGCATTGATTTCCCTGCTTCTCTCTGGCACTTGTGGCAGATTCCCATTTGCTTTCCAAATTGGAGATACGAGCTACGGCAGGACCAACGGTCTAACCAGGACTGCCAACCTCCAAGCTTGGTGGGGGGGATTTTGGGGAGGGAGATTGTATTCATTCCTATTGAAATCACACCGGCAAAACTGCTTGCGTTGCTACCAAGAATTCCGTTCGATATTCTCACTGGTCAGAAAAATAGCCGTGAGGTAGCCAGCTATCTTGTGTGTGATTCCGCGCAGTGTTTAATGCAGTTACTTTCATATCTTGGTATGGGCTGAAAACCTGGGAAACTATCTTTGACTGATCAGAATGTGAGTTTTTGCAGCTGTCTGTAATAAATGAGGTAAGGGCAAGCCATTTGATGCATAAGGAGAGGAAAATAAAAGACTTTACAAAGAAATATCTTGCTTGTTTTGTGTTTTTAATAAGAAGTGACTCTTTAAATGCTTCACAATCAATTTTGCATCACCCTCTTCTATCTCTGCAAAATCTCATTCGAGAAAGAACATTAAGTCTAAACAATGTATTTGGGTAACAAACAAGCTTTGTCATTGAATCATAAAGGCTTCAAATTTCTCAGTGAAAACTAAGGCGGGAGAAAAAAATAATCTGGAATCATGGAAAAGTGTCGTTTTGTTGAATAAAATAATCTTAGAGCCATGTGGAATATGGCAGTGTAAAAAGTTTGTAATAAACGCAACAGCACCGTCTGAACCAATTATGGCTCATTGCAGAGAGTTTCATGGCTACATTTTGGGGTACCTCTGAAAGTTTTTAAGCAATGTTTGCTTTACAAAATACTTTTATCTTTTGTCATATTTTTGCTGGCTTAAAAATGACCTTTATGCATGCCATTGAATAGTTCCTGGGGAATTCAGAATAAGTCAAGACACAGTTTGATTTAAAAGTATTTTCAAGGGACAACTTAATTAATCCTTCCATCTCTAGCCCATATCACTGCAGTAGAATAAAAGCCTCTTCACTGGAATGTATTTGGGAGTTCTGATTCGGTCTTTTCCAGTCGCTAAATCGAAAGTAACACGTGAGAAGTCATAAAGCAGAGTCGATGCTTTCCGCCCCAATTGCAAAAACTATTCATACCTTTTCCAGTGTAATGTTTGCATGGGAACAGTTAATGCTCTACAAAAGAAGCTGGCAGGATTTCTTCTCCTGACGGAGCTTAGGCGACTCGGCTTCAATCCTTGTAAAAAGCTTCGATTTCATTTTGGTACTTCTCGGCCACCGTTTGCCGCTTTAATTTCATCGATGGACCTAAAGGGTTAAAGAATTGGTCATTAGGAGGTATTCTTGGGGAAAGAATTGAAGATGGTAGGCGGGCTCAACTCAGGTAGCTGTCCACTCATAAAATATTTCTCTGGTCTTTTTAAGAGTTGCCACCAGAAAGGGAGGAGGGGAAGTAGCGCATTCCTTAAATGTTTTCATAGATAATTTCTAGGCGACCGAAGTTTCTGGCAGTGCAAAATTCTAACTGGAGAGCATGATTGATGACTCTGGGCTAGGGAGGTGTCCCATTGGAGAATATGAATTTTGATACACCCAGAGGGGTGGGGGAAAGCCAGGGTCAAGAGTGAAATGAATGATGTGTCTCGGAGTCGACTGCACGCAGGCAGCGCCGGTATGTTCACTCCTAATAAATCTTTAAGCTCTGAAAGATCTGGCTAGAGGCTCATGATTTAAATAGGGGTGAATACTGGAGCCCTGAGAGTAGCATATCACTGAGAGGTTCAAGAGCTTAAAGAGCTTAAATTTTGTGCAATTTTGATGAGTTTTATCCTCTTGCTTCACAAAGCCGTGGCCTTCCCAATAATCTACACCTTCGGCTCAGAATGGAAGTGCACCCCTACAAAATGCACCGTAAACTCACCAAATTCTCCCCCGGAAATGGAGAAATCTTTTCCTAAAATCGCCCACTTCTGAATGCGCTGAGGGTTACTGGTGGAGCGCCCATTGACGCGTTCGATGCCCTCTTGCACAGCCCGGTAAACGGCGCGGTCCCTGCTCTGCACAATCTCGGACACCCGGGTGGCTTTGCTGCCGGCTTTTTGGCAAAAGTCTCTGGCTTCCTGGGTCAGGAAGTCGGTGGGTTCCGATGTATCAGGATCCACTGAGCACTAACAACAACAACAAAAATTACACACGACACTTTTAACCGTGTCAAAGGAAAATCGAGTGGTCGCATAAAACCTAAGAGCAGGGTGACCAGTTAGTCCAGTTGGCTAGGCTTGGATCCAAGACATTGTGTGACTCTGAAATGGGGTGAAATCAGTCATCCCATCAAGGCAGCCAGGGAACAGGAAAAGGCCCACATTTCAAATATGCAACTGAGAATTAATTTTTAAAAACCCAATTTTCATCATGTACCTTTAAGGTCAACAGCATAGACAAGAACTTCTTCCGGTCGCCAATCAACACAGCGTTGCTAATAAGCGGCAGCTCCTTCCTGACAGCTTCTTCCAAGGGGATTGGGGGGATATTTTCACCCCCAGCGGTAATAATCAGCTCTAAGAAATACAGAACATCCAAGTTCAGCTCGAAAATACATCTGGTCGTCATCCTAGGTTTCCATCTGTGACAGGGAAGATAGAGCAGCCTCCTTGCCAATGCTTCTCTAGGGCCTCTTGGCATGTTCAGAAACACAAAGGACTCCATTTCATCCAGATTAAGACCCAAAAGATGTAAAGCAATTAAAAAAAAGTGTAATATTAAATGCGGATGGCTTCAACCTGGCTACTTTGGAGGCTTGTGCCCAGATAGAAAATTGATCAGACATTGATCGGTACCAAGGGTCCATTTAACAGAAGTTTTGCTATGTTCTTGCGTGGCATCCTGCAGAATCTCTTGGGCATCCTAAGTGCAAGAAACGGTTGAATCCGGGTCAACTCACATTGTCTCTTTCGGCAAAGGCTTATCCTGAACTTTAGGAAATATTATGTAGCTCTGGCTGTTCACTGTCTGATTTATCTGAAACTTAAGCGCTCCTGTCAAACAAGAACCTCTCCAAGAGATAAATTGTGCAGGGATGCCAAGAGATTCTTGGGACACTTACACCCGATGGCCGAAAAAGGGCAGCCTCCATCAATGACGGAGCTTGAATTTTGGTATTGAAGTACTGGGTAGAAGCACCTAAGTATTTAACAGCCTGGACAGCCGGAAGGAAATGAACTAGGGCAAAGCAATCTCCAGATGTTTGAGACTAACCACTCTGGCCAGTGGGAAAGTATGGCAGCTGTGGTCTAAAACATCTGGAGAACTTCAAAATACAGCAAAGGGAGGTCCCACCTTTAATTCTTCCAGTGACGTAAACAAATCCATCCTGGTCCATCTTTCCAAGATCTCCAGAGTGCAGCCAGCCATCCTGGTCAATCACCTCCTTGGTCTTGTCTTCCATGTTCAAATAGCCCATGAAGACATTCCGTCCCCAAAAGCAAATCTCCCCGTGGCCGTCCTTGTCTTCGTTTACTATCTTAACATGGCAGCCTGGGACAACCTTACCACAGCTGCAAGGAAAGAACAGACAGCAGAAACAAGAATGCCAACACCACCATGAGAAAGGGTGAGTGCTGCCTTTTTCCTGGAGTGGGCTGGTGGTGCCAGAAGGCTGACCACAAAAGACCAGACCCAGCCTTCTTTTTTTTGTTTTTTTTTTAAATTGCAGTTGTATATTTGCTTGATCTTTAAAATATTGGAGCTCTGGCGCTCAACAGCTTCCAGATATGCCATGAAGATGTCCCCAATGCCCCTAAGGAGAAATGGTTCTAGAAATATGGGAAAGCAGATCTGCCTTTGGAGAAAATCCAAATCTTGTTTCAGAGCCCTTGTTTCTCACCCTGGACAATTGGAAGAGGTGTGGGCTTCAACCCCGTGAGAAACGAAAATATAGGCTGTCAATCTATCGGATTCAATAAGGCCTTTGGATGATAGCAAGACCCAGAATAAAGAGACATGAACCAAAATTTTAGATTTCAAAATGGACTAGAACTATCTGTAATCCTTCTGAAACCGTTGCTAACTGCGAAACATGGTTTTGCAAAGTATGCACTGGTATTGGATACACGGAAAACAGGAGGAATGAGACAGACAGCCACGGGAATTGGAAGCCCAGACCTCTTCGAGTTGCCACAGTTGAGAAACTGAGTCTCCAAGGGAGTCCAAATCATGCGTGGAATTTCACAGTAGGATTACTAAATCAAACCAATGCTTTTATTTGCCAGTATATTAACCACAAATGAGCTCCCTCGTCATAAAAACTAAGCTTCATACGTTGCAAAAAGGCAGCCGTGCGGTCTTTAACTGCAAGGAGTTGGATAGTTAAAGGACCGCACTCGCACAGGGTGACCACAATTTGAAGCTACATTTCACGCTCAACACCCAGAGCGATTAGATGCCAGGGACGGCCAGGAAATCGCCACAAAATACCTTTCTTCGTCCCTTATCTTTGCAAGATGGCCCCAGCCCAGTCTACTCTGACCGCTAAGCATCCAAGTTTCTTTGGTGGGGGCTCCTAAGGAGAACAGGCCGGATCTTTACCTGTGGAGTCGATATACGTGTGGGCCGGATATGCAAAAGGGACCGGAGGTTTCGCTCATCCCATAACCTTCATAAATGGGGATGTTCAGGCCAAGGAAGAAGTGGGAGACTTCCACAGGGAGAGGGGCAGCTCCGGAGAAATGCTTCTGGCACTGGGAAAGGCCCAGGGCCCCCCGGATCTTCGACAGGAGCAAAGAGTCCACCAACCCCATCCAGAAGGGCTTTGAGTCCCTACCAAGATGGAAAAGAGGACAGCCAAGGTGAGATTGGGAGGAGCCAAGGGACCCTTGTCAAGATTCAGGTGGAGGGGGGGGGGAAGAGACTGGTGAGACAATCAGACAATCTCAAACAGCGGTCCAAAACAAACCCCTTCGTGCAAATTTGGCGTTTCAGGAATACATTCACCACAGAGGTGGTATTCAGCAGGTTCTGACCAGTTCTGGAAAACCAGCAGCGGAAATTTTGAGTAGTTCGGAGAAGCGGTAGCGGAAATTTTGAGTAGTTCGGAGAACCGGTAGCGGAAATTTTGAGTAGTTCGGAGAACTGCCAAATTCCACCTCTGACTGGTCCTGTTCCCATCTATTCTCTGCCTCCCATTGAGTCCCAGCTCATCAGCTGGGTCTTCTTTGGTTGCCCTGCCCAGGAGAACGGAGCTGGAAAGCAGGTTAGTGGAGTGGGGAGGGAACCTTCCCGTGCCATGACCACCAAGCCACACCCACTGAACCGGTAGTAAAAAAAATGTTGAATCCCACCACTGATTCACCAGCGAAACCACCGCTGTGTTTTGCCTATCTGATCCTCCAAGACAAGGACGCAGAACGGCCCCGGGAAAACAAAGGGGGTTTGCAAGAGGCTATTGGGGGGCCACGGAGCTTTGCAAGTGATCCGGCACCAATTTTGGGAACTCCACAGATTTGCAGCTAGACCAGAAAAGTTTCAGAACATCTAATGAAGATATTGCTTCAGTGAAGTCAAGTGTGTTAAGATGTTTGTGCTTGGCTGGGGAAGCCACCTTGGCTGGGGAAGCCACCTCTAAGAGCTGAAATCCTCTCATCTTAAAGCAGCCAAGGTTGAGAAACGCAGAATATGGGATTTATTTGCTGTCTGTGCTCTGTAAATAGTTCACCTTTTCTCCCCCCGCCAAAAAAAACAGGACTCTAGGGGTACCCACCTATTTGAGCAGCTCAGGTTTTGTTCCAAAGTGGCAGACATGGCCCAGGAGAGCATCTTCCTCTTCAGCAAACCGGTCTGAGAAGAAGCCTCTTTGATCTTCTCCATCATCTTCTCCCACACACGGGGTACTCCCATTTGCGAGGTGGGCAGTGCTTCCCTGAGGACCTCAACCAAGCCTCCCTGCGAAGGCCAAAGAAGGGGAGGTTGGGAGCGAAGAGAACAGGGACGCCCACGCCAGGCCAATTCCCTGGTCCACAGGTCAGACTAGAGGATCTTGCCTTCAGGGGGCACTTAGTCAAATTGCAGAAGTCTGATCTTACTATATAAAATCATCCATTGCAATGTCCTACCGGTCAATGACTACTTCAGCTTCAACCATAACAACACAAGAGCACACAGTAGATACAAACTCAAGGTAAACCGCACCAAACTTGCTTGCAGGAAATACGACTTCAGCCACAGAGGGGTCAATGTCTGGAATACTCTACCTGACTCTGTAGTTTCTTCCCCAAACCCCAAAAACATTAACCTTAGACTGTCTACTATGGACCTCACCCCTTTCCTAAGAGGTCTGTAGGGAGCGTGCATCAGCGCACCGATGTGCCTACCGTCCCTGTCCTATTGTTTCTTTTTATTTTTCTTATACGTATCCATTTCATGTATTCATAACTATGTTTATACTTATATTTATTATCTTGTAAGCGATTGACAAATCAAATCAAATTAAAAAAAATTAAAATTAAAAATTAAAATTGCTGAAGGGATGTATAGGTTGTCCCCCTCTAAAGTGCGTCCACCCTATTTTCCCCTTTATTATTTCTCTAGAAGGGCATCTCATCCCGCCCTGCTGAAAAGTCCAGAGAGCATCTTTTGGGAGATGCATGGAAGTGCATGGGGAAGAAACTTGGCCCCAAACTCCGCAGAGAGAGAGAGAGAGGGAGAGAGAGAGAGAAAGAGAGAGAGAGACACAGAGAGAGAGACAGAGAGAGAGAGAGAGACAGAGGGAGAGAGAGAGACAGAGAGAGAGAGAGAAAGAAAGAGAGAGAGAAAGAAAGAGAGAGAGAGAGAGAGAAAGAAAGAGACAGAGAGAGAGGGAGAGAGAGAGAGACAGAGAGAGAGAGAGAAAGAAAGAGAGAGAGAGAGAGAGAGAGAAAGAAAGAGACAGAGAGAGGGGGAGAGGGAGAGAGAGAGAGAGAGAGAGAGAGAGAAAGAGAGAGACAGAGAAAGAAAGAGAGAGACAGAGAGAGAGAGAGACAGATACCTTCAACGCATCCGGTTGTGCGAAATAAACTTCTTCACCCCACTTGATCCCAGTCCAGAGGTCATACATCTGACCGGCAATGTGGCTCAGTGGCAGGTAACTGACGATCTTTTCCTGTTGGATTTCGGCAGGTTGTACGTCTCCTGCTCGGCTGGCGTGGGCAGAGGTCCAGGTAATCTTTTGGAAAAGAAACGGCCAAGAATTAAAGATCCTGAGCCCAGGATCTTGGGGTTGATTGTTTTCTTTTGGTTTTGCTGTGTCCCAAGGTCACACGAATCCCCCCTTTGCAACCTTCTAAGCAAAAGGGGGGAGAGCCAGGTTCACTTAACAACTGGATTACTAACCTATCAACCGCAATGATTCACTTAACGACTGTAGCAAGAAAGTTCATCAAATCGGGCAAAGCTCATTAAACACGTCACACTTAACAACAGAGATGTGGGGCTCACGGGTAACAGATAACCAAGAGTTGGAAAGGTACCTCGTAGGTCATCTAGTCCAACCCCCTGCCCAAGCAGGAGACCTTACACCATTTCTGACAGAGGACAGTCCAGTCTCTTCTTGAAAGTCTCAGGGGATGAAGCTGCCACAACTTCCAAGGGCTCAATTGTGTCGAGGACTACCTGTATTGGGTCATTTCTGTAACATCACCTGCATTTCTTGGTGTTCCTCCTCCTACTACTTGAGTTGTGAGACTTTGACGTTGGAATTAGGAATAGTTTTAACATTGTTGGTGTGTTTACTGTGTAGCTGCTGAGCGGGCTGAGACAGCAGTGGGAGAGAGATCCGACCAGTAAATAATACTCTCTCCACCACGTCCCAATATGCTCTTCTGCGTCATCCAAGCAGCATCAAGGTGGCTAAATCCTTGGGCAGAATTTGATCACCATTTAGAGCGGGTCATCTTTTAATAAAAGGGGCCTCGGTTCATAGGGAGGGCCGGCAAATGCTTTCCACAATGAGGGAGACAATAAAAATAGCCTTCTGTGCACATGGAAATCAGAAATAGCCAGGCCCGAGCAAGCTAAGACTTCTAGGGAGAAGATGTCATTACTGGTCTCCGACTTCAGCTCTGTCATCCATGAATAGGTTTCTCTGGACAAGATCAACTCAACAAGATGTATCAGCGAGATCAACTTTATTGGCCTCCGAACCATCCATCCATGGATGTTTTAAGATGTGATTGGGTGGCCATTTGTCTGGAAAAGTATAGCATCTCCTGACTGAGCAGGTGTTGGATTAGAAGACCTCTAAAGTCCCTCCTAACCCTGTTGTTCTGGAAAACAGGCGTCCCCAACCTTGGCAATTTGAAGACCTGTGGACTTCAACTCCCAGGATCCTTCAGCCAGCGTATCTTTGTCATCTTAAAGTTGACAAGGCTGGAGATCCTTGCTGTAAAAGACATTTCTTTCGCGGGACACGACTAAGGAACCTCCCTCTGCTGCCAACCTGACGTGCTCTCCAGCCTTCCGGAACAAAGCCAAAAACTCTGGCATGATTTTTTTCTGTGCCCAGGGCCAATCTCTCTCTCCTGCCACCGTTGTCGCGCTTGCCAGTCCCCTGACCTGGAAATCCTTTGCAGTGTTGGAATAAAAGAAGAAACATGATTCATACCAGTTGAGAGTCATCTCTTTCACTCCCAAGCTGGCAAAAAGACCAGGCTGTTGGCAGGACACATTTCGACCCTGGCTAGGGACAAGTAGAAATATGGCCCTTTGTTGTGTTACAGTCTCTCTCTTATACTAAAAATGCCCTTTTCTCTGTTACCCTGACAGCAAATCAATGGCCAGCACTTATTTCAATACCTACTTTGCGTGAAGACAAAAACGACATTTTCATTTCTCCACTATTTTTTGACTTCCAGAAGAAATATGAACTTTCTTGTACATTTTTAAAGGACTCTTTATTTTTTTTCACTGTAGATGACTTCGTATATTGTAATCCCTGTATTTCAGAACTTGAGGGCATGATTAATAAATCTTCAATGCAAAATCAATCACATAACACGTTTATCATTGTATTCTTGCATTAATTTTGGCACTGTCTATTTCTTTGTTTCCAATTTGTTATCATTAGCATTTGCAGATACGGACGCAGCTCAAATACCTACATTGTCTTGGCTCAGCATGACCCCTTTGGGCTCGCCTGTCGTTCCAGAGGTGTAGATCAGGACACAACATTGGTTTGCCTCTTGGGAGTTGATGATTGCGTCAAGTTGTCCATCAAGAATTTCATTTCCCAACTCCATGAATTCCTCCATCTACAGAACAGAGAGGAAAGTCCCTATGATGCCCAGGGCTTCATCAAATTATATCTGTTCATCTTTCTGTATTCATTTTCCCCAGTCTTGGGTATCCTTGTATAATGCATTCAAGGCTTTTGCAATACATTATTATGCTGGCTGGAGAATTCTGGGAGTTGAAGTCCACAAGTCTTTAAAGCTGCCAAGTTTGGAGACCTCTGTGCTAAACTAATAACAATTGGAGGGAAAGTAGCACTAGATATCGTAGGAGTGGATTGTACTGTAAGTTCAATTTTTGTCAATCCACCTTCCTAATTTTGCATCCTGGTCTGCTAAGTGGACTTTTTGGTACTCAAAAAAGGGTAGCTTTTGATTGCATAAACGTCCCTATTTTTACATACAAGGACAATTTAAAAAAAAAGAACACTGGACATCAAGAACATTAAGAGATACAACTGGGAAGAACTACAAGGATTCTTGATGGGTCTTCAAAAGACCGCTTCGATCCAAGCAAAGTGAGGCTAAATCCAAGGATGTTTTTACTGGTGTCGTTACTCAGACAAAGGCACCAAGGGAGCAGCTACAGAGCCTATAATTTCACACAGGACTTATGAAGCATGTGAAGAAGGCTCCCGTGGGTCTCCTCGCATCGTTCCTTGGATCCAATCCCAGAGTTTTAGAAAGGAAAGTTAAAACGTCTCCAGAACTGGAAACCAGACACTGATGCATGAGCTGTCCAAGAAACAGCACCGGGGCAACTGAGAGCACATCCATTAACACTTCAAAGAAGGACGGTGTCCGTTCGGTCAGAATGACCAAGTGCGAAGTGTCAACACATCTGTGGAGAAATCCTTTCTCCATTACTATGATACTCTCCCTTCCAGCAACCGTAAAGGGCAGGGAAGGACACCGTTACGTGTTGGGAACAGACACCATAATTCCTTAGCCAACAAACTGTGCTTGAGGTTTAAGCATCTTCACGTTTCATAATTCACAAGAGCGGCTTTGGATGTCTTTTAGCAAGCGGAAGCCCGTGGGATTAGTGAGTTGGTGAGTTAATTTTATGACTGTTTCTAAATTGGCCTCAAGTTTTAGCTGACTAATCTGGAAGTCGCACCTTTTTAAGTCTGCACTTTTGTTCACGCGTGTGGGAAAGTATTATTTTAAAGTTTGAGGATGCACAATATAGCACAGGTATCCTTGGCAACTACAAGACTTGTAGATTTCAGCTCCCCAGCCAGAATGGAGAATCCTGGAGTTGAAGTCCACGTGTCTTAAAGTCGTCCTAGTTGAATAGCCCTGATATATAGTGTTTCTTCTGTTCTTTAGGATTCCAGATGTCTTTAGTTATACCAATCAGGTTCATGTCATAAGATGTATGAACCTATTTTCTAAAAGCAGGTTTTGAGCCTAGCGTTATGTCTGAACCTGCCAATTGTGGCTTATTTAACAAATTATGGCTAAGTACTATGCATCGGCTCAACCAGATACTCCCCAGATTTTTCCCTTTTCTGTCTTGCTGAAGTATTAATATTTCCTGTTTTCCACTGTTTACAGAAATCCCAGCAATGGGGGTGGGAGAATGGAATTAAAACTAACGAGGCAACGAAAATGGACGAATTACTTGATTTATCATGAATTTACATACCGTATACAAATTGGGGTGTTTCTCAGACACAGGATCTTTATACATCACCACAGCTTTTAAGTACGGTAAACGATCCCAGATCTGTGCAAAAATTGAGATTTTTTTTTTTTTAAAGTCTTATTTGTATTGTGGATAATGCAATACTGGAACCAAAAAAAAATTAACATCCCAACTCAACTTAAAAGAAATCAGACAGACGAATATTACCATATAAACCAAAAACATTCGAGTTAAACTGACATTCTCAAACAGGGGTGTGAATTCTAGCAGGAAGTTCCTTACCTGCGTTATCTTGTCCAGCTGCTTCTGGTTTTCCACCACCACAATATTAGCTCTGCAGTCATGAGCAATGTATTGACAAGCCTCTGGAGAACTGGTGGTGTAGATCCCAGACACAATGCCGCTGTTGTGAGTAGAAGTAAGATTTTTCCTTTTAATGACAAGCGTGTCACGTCATACAAGCGAGTTAATATTTGCCAGCTTGAAACCAAGGGCTTATGACAATTAGAGGAGCACACAGGGTTTTTTAAATTCATTCAGGGCCCAAAAGCAGTACTGAAACTGGATAGTGTTTGGATGGGAAACTAGCCAGGAATCTCAGACTATAATTTAAACCAGTATTTCACAACCTTGGCTGCCTGAAGATGTGTAGACTTCAACTCCTCAAATTACCCAGATAGCTGACTGGGGAATTTGGGGAGTTGAAGCCCACACATCTTCAAATAGTCAAACACTTGCAGATTTTTTTCAACAATCCCTTGTATTTAATGCACTTTGCTTGGGATGACTACCCAATGGCTTGTAACTTGTTGACCTCTGGACCTGTTGACACCCATCCAGCATTCCTCACCTGAACCTGGACAAGAGGGGAACTCCAGTTAAACCATCAGCTACCTCAGCCCATCTTCCCTGGCCTGGAGTTTATGTGGGTCACATTTTCCTCTGTAAATCCCTAAGGAGGACATTTCCAACCTTACCCAGCAAATACAGCTCCTACAGCCGAAATGAACCACTCGGCAGAATTAAAACCCAGAATTGCAACACTGTGGAATCGTTCAAGGCCGAGCTTGGAAGGAAAAAAAAAGGAACAATACAGTCAACATTGTTGAAAAGAAAGAGAAAGTCTTTTTTTTTCCCCCACCACTGAAATGTGAACTTGGCTAATTTCTCCTCCCTCCCTTTTCCCATTTAGCTTGGCATGCATAATTTCTAGGTCATTTAGCACAGAATCTTTATCCCATGCCAACTTTCCGGCTGTTTCTCTGATTTCGGCTGCGGTTGTTCTTCTCTAAACACCATGCAATATCTTGCTGTTTGAACATTACTTGCCTTACTTAGTCAAAATAATAACAAGAAGAGCGTTGGCGGCTAGTCTTCGCTTATCAAAACAGTTGTGGCTTCATGAGGACGAGAAGGACCAAATTATCAGGGCTTGAATATCTTTGCAGTTGCTCAAAAGGCAGTCGGTCCACAATTTGCAAAACAAGAGGTGGAGGAAGAGGAGAAAAAGGAGAAAAAAAGCAGGAAAGGTGGTGTATGCCAAAAGTTTGTTAGGTGAGAGGTTGCCACGGGATTCCTGCTTAAAGTAGCATTCTTTATAAGAAATATTGCAAAAATACCACGGTATAGATCATTCTTCACATAAAGATAAAATTGCACACATACCTGCCTTCACTTAAAAAAAGCCTCAGTCACCCCAAAGACCACAATGTGGGTATTGGATATAAAACTCAAAGTTTACCTTCAGGAAACTCTTGGCTGCTTTCCGAGAAAGGCGGTAATACTCCGAAAAAGTAATTTTTTCCCATTTCCCCTCCTTTTTGCTGGCTAATGCATTGAGAGACGTGTATTTCTCTAGGGATTCTAGAAACATCTGGTGAATTGTTATCGGCGCTTGTGAGCAGGTGGGATCCCTTCGCAGCGTCACCTGCCCGTCCGCTGTTGTGGTCCAGAGAGGAGCTAGGAAACAAGAGCAGATTATTCAGTAACATTTGGAGATGAAAAACCCTCTAAAATCCAGCTGTGTTAGCTCCTCTTTGTTCATTGGGACCAAATAGGTAATTTGCAAGGAAGATAAAAGAGGCAACAGCATTTTTCTGGGTTTCCTCCACAACTTCTTTTCTTTCATGAACAATCTTTCTATATTGTAAATCCTACAGTCAGGATGATTTTGATTTTAGTGATTTATAAAACAGAACAGGAACCAATACAGGAGAATATTCACAGCTCAGGATCCCTGGGGATCCCTGAGCTTGGTTGTTTTCTTGTAGACGTTTCATGACCCAACTAAGTAACATAATCAGTGCTAGAAGGAAATGCAAGAACCTCATTCACTTCTGGCACTGCTGATGTTACCTCGTTTGGTAATGAAACATCTGCAAGGAAAACAACCACGTTCGAGAGCACCAAGGACTCCTCAGAGTAGGAGCCTTTCCAAAATGCAAGATAGAAATACATGAATCATTGTCCCAGAAGTAGATTTAGTTCCTTCTTCAAACTACTTCAGTGCATCATAAATAAACCAATTCGAATTCATCTTGATATTCATTTACCTGAATTTTTTTCCAGACTCATTCCAGAATCTTTTCAGTTGCTTTGGACTTCTGACAAACTTCTGTGAAAGGAAGGAAATTTTAAAACTCCCTTTAAAACTCCGGTGGTTAGTAGTATGCAGAGGATCATAGTCCTCAAAGGACAAATTGCAGCAGGCAATATTTTTTATCTAAAACAGTGTAGAAGCAGAGAACAATATTGTCCTGTTTGAGCAGGGGTTGGTTGGATCTTTTTCACAAAGGAAATTATTCTTTGCAAACAAAAGAATACAAAAATATTTATTTTCTCAATAACAAGTTTTACAACTCTGTATCTTTTTTGGAATGTGGTTTTCCTTTCATACAAAAAAATGCACTTATTCTCTATTTCAGAATTCATCTTCTCCTCCCTGTCCTGTTTCAGCCTACTTCTACCACTGTTACGAAAAACACATTCATGCATTCCTATATTTTAGCCCATTTAATTATTTTATCTTGAATTTCTCAAAAGACAACTCAAAACATTGCCAAGACGTTGTCATTCTGGAAAGACGAAATTTTCTTGCTTGCCCAAGTTAAACTCAACCAAACAAGATGTGGGTCAAAACGTTTCCCCAAATCTTTTGAAATTATATTTTTAAAAAAGGCTATTATCAGTTTGATGTGTCACAGTCCTGACATCCTTATTTCATACAATGCAGCCTCCATCTTTTAAGAAAAAAGCAATTTCTCCAGGCATTATTTTACCTGATCGCTTTATTTCTGGTCCTCTTTTGTTCTGCTGCAGTTCTTTCTTCAGAGAACCCAATCAAACTGACCCAATTCTTTAGAGACAAGCAGAGTCGATTAAACTCCGGAGTTATCAACTGCTGATTTTATTTAAGAATCCCAACAGGCATCAACTTCACCCAAACATGCAGCGAGATAGATTGGGCAGCTCCAAAGCTCTTCCTGGTCAACTTCCCAAGAAACTCTTTCGTGTTCAGTGGGGACAAACTTTCCTTTCATTCGCTGTTTTTTTTCCTTCTCCGTGAGAAGAATCTCAATGACGTTTGGGATCAGACATCCCTTGGCACAAAGGAGAACGGGAAGTGGCGGAGTCATGGATGTAGACCCTGGAAGACGTTACATTTCTGGCACGAACGGACGGTGTGGTTACTAAAGCATTTTCGGCAACTATGGTCTATCAAACGCCAATGTAATTTATTATGAAATCGGGATTCAGTTTTTGGTATTGTTATTTCCCCATCGCACAGATATTTCTTTCTTTCATTCATTCATTCAAACTTTAAACCATCCCATATCTGAAACTCTCAGGTTGGTTTTGAATAAAGCACCGCAAGCACAACGGTGGGAATGAAAATGCAGATAAAATGCAGAATGAAAACACCCTACAGGTTCAGCAATGACAAGGCAATACAAATAAAAAGCCAAATAAAATACAGGGGAAAATAAAGGGGCCTTTATCTGGGACCAAAATGCTGCTACAGTGGGGGGGGTGCCGTTGAGCCTTTTTGGAGGAAGGATTTGTATCAACGAGGGGGCCACCACAGAAAAAGATCTTTCTCTTCTAGATCCAAACTCGGCTCCGTTGGTGGAGGGACCTGGAAGAGGTCCTCACTGGAAGCTCTTAAGGCCCAGGTAGGTTCATAAATCAAAACAAATTAAACAGCACGCAGGTAACCTGGTCCTATATCTTTCATTCTAGTTTCTGCTGCCGATTCTGTGAAAATCTCATTAAGTCGGTGTTGATTCCTAGGGACCACATATCTAGATTTTCTCCATGATGACCTGTCCCCAACTTGGTCTTCCAAGTGTTCCCCCATTCCCGTTATAACTGTATCCCACCACCTTCCTTCCGGTTGCCTTCTTCTCCTCTTTCCTTCCATTTTTTCCCAGCATCAGAGCCTTTTCCAGAGAGCTGGGTCTTCACTGAATATGTTCAAAGCAGGATAATTTGAACCTGGCCATTTGATCCTTGAGTAAGAATTGACTGATTCAGTTGTTCTTTGTTTCTTGGTTGTCCATGGTATTCTCAAAAGTGGATGGAGATTGTCCATCATCCAGGTCATGGTTGTCCCAAAGGTGCTTTTTCAAGTGGCAACTGGGCTTTCTTTGTTTTTCCTTGAAGACATTTCACTTCCAACTCTGTTGTTCTATTCCATTCCGTCCCGTCCCGTCCCGTCCCGTCCCATCCCATCCCATTCTATTCATCCAAGAAGTTTTTTTACATGCTTGTGAAGAAGGCACAGAAGAGGCTGCGCATTCTCAGGAAGATAAAAATCTATCTCAGCATCTACTTCCGTCCTACTACCACAGCACCATTGAGAGTGTCCTGACATACGGCATTCTTGTATGGCATGGGAGCAGCTCTGTAGCGGACAAAAAGGCTCTACAGAGAATCATTAAAGCTGCCCAAAATATCATTGGGCTCCAGCTATCAGCCCTGGACGACACTTTCGCCTCTTGCTGTTTGAGGAAGTCACACAACATTCTCAGAGACTCTTCCCATCCTGCTCACAATCTTTGTGGAACTGTTGCCTTCTGGCAGAAGATGCAGAACAATTAAAACTCAGACCACACGTTTTCTAGTTTATATCCCAGAGCTATAATTGCAGTTAACAATGAACTTAAGGTCCACCATCAGTGAGCTGTTGGACAGGATTACTTGGTCAGTTGTGTGGATGCTTGTGTGTTTTTAGGGTATGGGGAATTTTGGTGGGTGGGGAGGTGTTTGGGGATTGTCATGTGTGTGTACATGTTGTATCTGGTCTCTGAGTGTTATGTGGATTTCATTTTATGTATACTGTATATATACGTACAATGACAATAAAGAATTCAATTCAATTCTTCAGAACTGAGGAAGCTTCTTGAATAAGAAGTGAAACATCTTCATGGAAAAACAAAGAAAGCCCAGTTGCCGCTTGAAAAAGAACCTTTGGGATATTCTCAAAAGACTTCCTCCACAGCAAAGTTCAAAGCATCAATTATCATTCTTCTCCATTTCAGAAACCAGTAAATTGTAATTATATACAAAAAAAGAGTTCACTCTTCCAAAAACTGCATCTATCCCCTTCAGCCAATGTAGAAAATTATGATTTGATAAAACAAAGGATGACCTTTTTAAAGGCTGGAGTCCACATCTAACTTTGGGGTGAGATTGAGAAAGGGTTTGGGTGGCCCTACAATGTAAAAATGCTGCATTTTATTAAGCAGAAGAAAAAGAATAGGGTTTTTTTTCCAACGTTTTTTTCCCTAAGGTTTACATAAACCGCCGAAATTATACTGGGTCGATCGTTGTTGTAAAATTACTTGACAGTGGCATGGATTAAAAACGGATATTAAATTATTTTCGTGATTGTGCTAAGCCTCTTTTGAGGCGAACATTTCCAGTTCTGGATTATTCCAAAGGTGGAACGAAAGCACCAGGTCATTTCTGGCATGCGAAGGGAGTTTGAAGAATCCCAGAAGAACTTTTGGACCATCTGAAGCTTGGAGTCCTCCTGAACTATCCAATGCTATGATGAAAGAAAGAGAAAAATGAGATCAGCACGAAAAAAATGTAAGCGTTTCTAAGCAACAATAAGGACTAAGGATAGCAACATTCCATGAGTTCCATTTGACAGTTGGCTAGAGAAAAAATAGGTGGGAAATTCTCTGGTGGGCTACTTGGTGAAAGGATGAATCTTCTCAGCTTCTTTTCTGCCGAAACAACCTCACCACTGTTCCATCTTCCGCTTCCCAGGTTGGCCAAAATGTCTTCTAGCATTTCACTCCTTAGATGAATTGTCGCATTCAACACAGGTAAGTTCCTTGTCCAAATGACAGGGTTTTTAGAGTCGCCGCTCTACAAAAACTTCATTAAAATGGATTAAATCAAAAATACATTAAGGGATGTCTACGGGGTGGGGGTCAAAAAAAAAGGCAAGATGGTAACCATAGCTCCAAGCTCCGTATTGCACGTAAAAAACTGGAGCAGATTTTCACATGCCCCAAGGTAGCCAACATCTTGAGATCTTTGCCCTTCCTTTGTGAACAACCCTGAATCAACACAACCCTTTGCTTCTGTCTTTTTCTCCACTTCTACACATAAACAAAAGTCATGGAGTCCAAAGACGATAAAAGAAATCCTGGGCAGTCATCGTCGGAAGATAAAAAATCCAAAGATCAGTCCAATGAAGAGAAAAAAAATAAGGAGGCCAACACAGAAGACAAAAAACCTACTGAGGGTCCCACGGAGAACGAGGAATCCAAAGAAGCTGATGGCCACGCAGTAAGGCGAAATTATCATTTGTTTTGTGCATTTTCCCTTTGAATTCCTCTATGTCCTTCCAGGGGCTATTTTTATCATTATCCA